GCGGGCGTCGAACAATTCGATGACCAGGTGATTGAACAGGTCCATCCCGTGCGAGTTGATAGGACGTCCAATACTCTCCTGTGCATTGATGGCGGCGGTGACAGCGTTGTGGATGCGGCTCAGCTCCTCGGCGGTATCTCCCTTCATCTTTGGCACGGCGGTAAACGTGGCAAAGTTGGAGCGGATTAATTCTCTTTTGTTGTCGTAATGCTTGTTCAAGATTGCCCAAGCGCGATCGTAATTGTCACTTGTGACAGGTAGTGATCTTATCAATTTTTCAGCCTGACCTGTCAAACACGAGCGGAGGTGGTGAAGACGCTCGATGTTTGAGATGGAATTGCTGCTCACAACGGACAGGAAGAGATCACGAAATGACGGCCAATCAGCGTAGGCGCCAGAAAACGGCGGCAACTTGATGCGCGGCAGCGACGACTTTGATGCGACGTCGACGGATGGAGATACGTTTGGCTTCCGGAAATGTTCAGCGTAGCCATCCAGGATACTGCGTTGTGCCACGTAAAGATTTTCAGTATTTCCATGCAACTCCGACTTGAAGTATTCACTGTCACTAAACTTCTCTTTCAGAGCCGCGCGAATGAGATCATGCTGGGCCTCAAATTTCGTCCACAGCTGATCTAGGATCCTGATGCGCGTAGATACGGCACTGGCGGTGATGTTGGTCGTGCCCAGCTTCTTCAAGTATTCCACGGAGCGTGAAATACGGACTTGGACCTCACGTTGGCAATCGATCAAGGTGTTCACATCCATGTCGAACTACGAGCTCACTGACCGCACCAAGAGACACGTTCACAAACTTGCGGATGCCGGCACGATGGATCCGGCTCGAAGGACCAAAAATATGTTCGCGAACGCGCTGCGTGAGAGAGGATCGCGCGACACAATAGGATAAGTCACCCTTTCTTTTGTATTAAAAAAAGTTTAATTTCAATACACACTTAATTACAAATTACTTGAACAAGACTTATAACATTTAAATATTTCAGTGAAAGTATAATCGAGAACAAAGTGCGGAATAAGCGGCGGTCGTCAACGAGATTTTAGCGGATCAAAATAATATGCGGTTTTGCGTTATGCGGTCACTGCGGAAAGCGATAAGGCCCCGATTTCGGGCGCGAGCTCTCTCTTATGGGTTTCCGAAGAAAACCCACTTTTTCGGAAAGCGTCAATTATTGCGAGCAATTTGAATTGTGCTCGAGGTGACTCGAAGGCACAACTCATTATTGGCCGCTTTTCTAAGATGCGCAACGAACTCGCGTTTTGCCATGCGCGCGCGACCGCTCGCTATTTCTAATTGGTGATCGAGGCCGCGTGGCAATTTTGCGCATGCTTGTACCGCGAAAAGTATCCAGTAAAACGGTTGCGAAACTGCTAATTGTTTGTGTGTAAAGAATGTTTTTTAGATGACAGGTTTAATTTATGACAAGTTTTTTACCGTGACAAACATACAAAACGACCGTGACTTTTGTTATTGACGCGGATGGAAAATTCTAGAATTTACAAAAGTTTTACTTAACATCTCAAACACTTATAATAAAATCGTGGATGTGACAATAAAATTGTTCTATCCACTAGACCGTATATAGTTCCCCGCTTTTGACAAAATGGATGCTGAGACAAGAAATGTAAATATCTCCCCGAGAATGTCGGCTTGTGATACCAATCAGTAATTATCTTGTTGTTTTCTAAAATTAATGTCAAATCTAAAAAGTTTATTTTATTATTATCGTCAGTTTCCAGAGTGAATTGGAGTCTATTATGATAAGAATTAAAAATCATAAGTGTGTGGTCAATTAAAGTCAATGGAACAGTCAATACAATGTCGTCAACATATCTAAAGTAAATCGGGGGTGTGAATTTTAACAATTGTAATGATTTATTCTCAAGATCTTGTAAAACTAGATCTGCAATCACTGATGAGAGAGGAGAACCCATGGGCATTCCAAAGGTTTGGCGGTAGATAACGTTATTAAAAATAAAAAAGGTAGAATTTAAAACTATGCCTATTCCATTTAAAAATTCTGATTTTGATAAGTCACAATTCTTTGAAATAAATTCCCATGTAGAGGAAATACTTTCAAGAGCCTAATCAATAGGGACGTTAGTGAATAGCGAGACAACATCTAACGAGATTAAATTAAATTCATTATCAATGTGAATCTGTGACAATTTTTTCACTAGTTCGAAACCGTTGTCAACACGACCTTCAGGCACTGGGAGGCTTTTAACTATAATCTTGTGCACGAAAGTCGCCAAGTTATACAGAGTAGTGTCAACCTATGACACTATTAATCTGAACGGACAGTTTTCTTTATGGACTTTAGGCAAGCCATATGCCTTGGGGAGAGTTCCATCAGTAAACAACAAAAGTCTGTATTCATTAGTTGAAATAAACTTAGAATTTTTCCAACAAACTAACAAGTCATGAAGACTGTTTATCAATTTTCTAGTAGGGTCTTTTTTGACCATGTTCGAAATTGAGAAGAAATTAATATAATTATTTCAGTCTGTATTTTTCTGTCTAAAAAATCGATATTTTCTTCCGATGAATATGCGAAAAAACCGCGGAAAAAAGGCTCGCCCGATATAAACAAGTAGGCGATAAATCAGGATTATTTTAACAAGCTGTCAATAACAACAACATTGCTTAACCGAAAGCAACGATCACTGCATTGATTATCGATGTAATAGACATGCGCCGTTCGATCACGTGGCTTCCGAAAGCCAATTGATCTCGCTATCGAGCATTTCGCGCATGTCAGGTGCGTGCTTGTGTCGCGTAAATTACGGGGCCGCCAATAAAGACAGGCGCCCTTGCGTCACCTTCGAACATTTTTAAATAACCGAAATTAATTGGTGAAGGAAAAATTAGTGGGGCTTCAGTACCGCACCGATAAAAGAAGCGCCCACCAAAATTGGGCGGCTAGTCTCTCGAGTCTTAGTACCGCAATTATTACCGCAATTATTACCGCAATTATTACCGCAATTATTACCGCAATTATTACCGCAATTGTTACAGCAATTATTACCGCACACTCACTTGGAAATCGAACTCGACTTATCTATTGGAACTTTGTAAAATCACTGTATTGTTTAAATTGTGAAAGTAAATTCTGTGTTAATTATTAAAAGGTGAATAATTTCTTTCGGCCTTCAATTACGCGCTCTCCTTCACGCGTTCGCGCAAACATATTTTTGGTCCTTCAAGCCGGATCTTTTATCAGGTCGTCGCGCCGGCAGGCGTGTGAACATTCTTGAAGACGAGAGTGAAGTGCCTGAAAAAGAAATACAGTAAGTGTCACATCATGGATGCCGCTATATTGTTAGATAGTCAGCGTGAGATCCAAGTTCGAATCTCACGCTCGGTCAAATACCTGAAGAAGATGGGCGCTCCTAACATCACATCCAGTGCCGTCACTACCCGCATCAGACTTCTTGATCAAGCCTGGGATAAGTTCGTCATCCAGCACGATCAGCTGCGTATTGCCTTGAAAGATAAGTTCAGAGAAAGTGATTACGTTACTTCAGGACTCCATGATTTGACTGAAAATACGTACGTACAGCAAAGGAGCATCCTGGACGGTTACGCTGAACGCATTTGGTCAGCCTCGAAAACCGTCAAGCTAAACGAAGCCGCTCCTCGAACCGCATTACCTCGAGTCAGGATTCCGCAGTTTTCGGGAGCTTACTCCGAGTGGCCAACCTTCCGAGATCTCTTCCTGTCTGTCGTCGGTGATAACGCCACCATCTCTAACATCGAACGCCTGCATCATCTTCGGTCGAGTTTGAACGGACAGGCTGAAAAATTGATAAGTTCATTACCGGTGACAGGAGACAACTACGAACGTGCATGGACGATACTGTGCAAACACTACGAAAACGAGAGAGAATTCATCCGATGCAACTTCGCCGCATTCACCGCCGTGCCGAGAATGAAGAACGGAACCGCTGACGAACTGCATCGCATCCACAACGCTGCCGTCACAGTCGTCAACGCACAGGAGAGTATAGGTCGTCCTATTGAATCTCACGGAATAGACCTCCTAAACTATCTTATCGTCGAGCAATTCGACGCACACACTCGAATAGAATGGGAAAATTCCATATCCGACTCCAACAAGGCACCACCGCACGAAACACTTTTGGAGTTCATGACGCGACGGATGTTCACACTTAACGCCGTGCATCCGAAGACTCTCAAGAAGAACTTCGGAGAGTTTTCAAGAACAGCAAAGACACATGTTGCGAAGCACGGAACTGACCTTCCACAATGCGCACTGTGCCATGAGAAGCACCATCTGATGACGTGTCGCGAATTTAAGACGAAATCCGCGGCAGATCGAAAGGCCTTTGTTGAGACGCACAGACTGTGTTTCAACTGCCTCGGAAATCATTATCTTACAAAATGTCAGTTGAGGAAGAACTGCTACACATGCAAGGCACGTCATCACACTTCACTGCACGACGCATACAGCACGGTCACCGCACACACACCAGAAGCCACTTCACTCGCCGCACTGCACAAAGCCAAGGAGCAGAAGGCTGTACTCCTCGCCACTGCTCGGGTGAACGTAGCCGATCGCCATGGAGCACCGCACGACGTCCGAGCACTGATCGATCAGGGATCAGAGGTGTCGATCGTTTCTGAAGCACTGGTGCAACGACTGAACCTGCCTCGATCACGCACTGACATGGCCATCTTTGGGATCGGAGGCGCACGACCAGGATCAACGCGTGGCAAGATCACGCTGCACCTCACTTCGGACATCACGAACGCCCGGCTCTCCGTGATAGCGTTTATACTGCCACGCCTGTCACTTCTTCAAGGCTCCACGTCCAGCACACCAGAAGATTGGCCGCATATTCGAGGACTCTAACTGGCGGATCCTCAATTTTGCGAGAACGATCCAGCCGAGCTACTCCTGGGAGCGGAGGTGTGCTCCTTAATTCTTGAAGAGGGTCTACGCAAGGGTGGACCTCAGATGCCAATCGCGCAGAAGACATCGCTAGAATGGATCCTCTCTGGAGGCTCCGACGTTGCATCCGCAGAAGAGCACCGTCGCACATTCCAGTGCACTGCCGATCACGAGCTACTCGAGCTGGTGCAGCAGTTTTGGGAACAGGAACGGGAGCCCAACGCAGTCACGACACTCTCCGCCGAAGAGCAGCAATGCGAGGAATTCTTCGTGCACACGCACACTCGCACCTCTTCAGGACGATACGTGGTGAAGCTGCCGTTCTCCTCACCAATCACTGCACTCCGCGAAACCCGCAAACCAGCCGAGCGGCTTCTCACAACGATGGAGAGACGATGCGTCCAGGATCCTCGATTCGGCAATCTGTATCGCAGCTTCATGACAGAATACGAAGACCTGAAACATATGACGCTGGTGACATGCTCCACAACTAGCAATCAGTCAACGTACTTACCACATCATGGAGTACTCAAAGAGTCCAGTGCCACGACGAAGCTGAGGGTCGTGTTCAATGGGTCGCAGCGAACGCGAACTGGAGACTCTTTAAACGCACACCTCATGACTGGAGCAAATCTTCTGCCAGCTCTTCCTGACGTACTACTCCGATGGCGTCAACACCAGTATGTCTTCGTTGCTGATATAGAGAAAATGTATCGGCAGATACTCGTGCATCCGGATGACTGCAGATTCCAAACGATCCTGTGGCGTCATTCAACTGATGATGAAGTGCGAGAGTACCAGCTGAGAACGGTCACCTACGGTCTGGCGTGTGCTCCGTTTCTCGCCATACGGACACTCCGTCAGCTCGCAACGGACGAAGAAGAGCAGTTTCCTCGTGGCGCCGTAGCTCTGCGTCGAGATTGTTATGTCGACGATGTGGTCACCGGCTCAAATACGCTGAACGATGCGATCGCACTCCAGATGGAAATTCGCAACCTCTGCTTGGCGGGCGGATTTCCGTTGAAGAAGTGGGCAGCCAACGACGAGAGGATCCTGACTGGAGTACCAAGCGATCATCGTTTGCAGCAATTGCCGCCAGCCTGGGTTGGAGAGAGCCACTCCACGCTAGGACTCCGCTGGCACCCGCAACAAGACCAGTTCTCCTTCGTGTTTCATCCGCACGCTGCCATCAACCACACGAAGAGAACGGTTTTATCCGAAACCGCACGGCTCTTCGATCCATTGGGTGGCTCGCTCCAGTCGTGATTCGAGCAAAAATTCTCATTCAATCCACGTGGCTGCAAGGATTGGACTGGGACACCCCGCTGCCGCCATCCGACGCTCGAGAGTGGCAACGTCTTCTAGAAGAACTCCATCTTCTAGATCAGGTGCGAATAAAACGCTGGCTCGGGACCGGAGCAGATAAGACCTCGCTGCAGCTTCATGGCTTCGCCGATGCATCCGAACGAGGATATGCAGCCGCAGTATACATCCGCATCACTGAAAGGAACGAAACGTCAGTAAGGTTATTGATGGCCAAAAGCAAGGTAGCACCCGTCAAACAAGTGACCTTGCCGAGGCTGGAGTTGTGCGCCGCCACGCTACTCACCAATTTGACGCGACATATCAAACAAACGCTCGACCTGGCAACATCAGACACGTACTTATGGTCGGATTCAACAGTGACCCTCCAATGGATTCGCGGTCACTCCTCACGCTGGAAGACTTTCGTCGCCAATCGAGTCGCTCACATCCAGACGCAGCTGCCTAATGCACAATGGAGACACGTAGCTGGTCGCGACAACCCTGCGGACTGTGCATCAAGGGGTATTAATCCAAGCGAACTAATCAATCACGCTTTATGGTGAACAGGACCTACCTGGTTGTCACAGCACGAATCGGCCTGGCCAAATTCCGTGATGGAGATCCGAGGAGACGACGTGCCAGAAAGGAAAGCCACGAGCCTGATGACTGTCAACCGGGTCATCGTCGAGCCAGAAATCCTGCTCCGCTTCTCATCTCTGCATCGCCTGCTACGGATATCCGCATGGTGCCGTCGCTGGCTGCGCGCTTCTGAGCCGACTCACACCGCTGGACTAACGTTGAGTCCTGAGGAACTCGACATGGCACTCTTTCGTTGGCTTCGAGAAGTGCAGACACTGCACTTCACGGACGAGATCACCGCAGTCGCAGCTGGACGCTCCGTCGCACCACGCAGCACATTAGTCAAGCTGACTCCGTTCCTCGACGACCATGGTGTTCTGAGAATGGGAGGTCGGCTTAAGCACGCCCTGCTGACACAAGATGAGAGGCACCCGATGATCATTCCAACCTCGTCGTGGCTGACTCGTCTGCTGGTGGAATCCTGTCACCGTCGGACGCTGCATGGCGGAGTGCAACTTACCCTGGGGCTGCTTCGACTGCGCTTCTGGATTCCACGAGGACGCACAGTTGTGAAACAGCAACTACATCGCTGCGTCACCTGCACAAGATGGCGAGCAACGACGCTGCAGCCACCGATGGGTAATCTACCCCGCGATCGGGTCACTCCGACTCGGCCATTTCTGCGCACTGGAGTGGACTATGCAGGACCCATCCTCATCCGGACGAGCAAGGGACGAGGACACCGCGCCTATAAGGGCTATATCGCAGTATTCATCTGTTTTTGGTCCAAAGCCATCCACCTCGAACTTGTCTCGGATTACTCTTCAGAGGTCTTCATCGCCGCTTTACGTCGCTTTATCTCACGTCGAGGTCTCTGTACGGACATATATAGCGACTGTGGAACGACCTTCATCGGGGCTGACCGCACTTTACGGGAACTCTTCGTCGCTGCATCCACAGAGGGTCGTGGAATCGCACGCGTAGCTGCTAAACATGGCATACGGTGGCACTTTAATCCACCAGCAGCTCCGCACTTCGGCGGATTGTGGGAGGCAGCCGTCAAATCCGCTAAGTATCACTTACGGAGGGTGATAGGTGAAACCACTCTCACCTTTGAGGAACTGACCACTCTCCTCACACAAATTGAGGCCTGTTTAAATTCTCGTCCATTACAGGCACTCTCTGACGATCCAGACGATATTACAGCACTGACTCCGGGCCACTTCCTGATCGGCGCGCCGCTTCTCGCCATCCCGGAGCCAGTACAGGAGGACACCAGTGGATCCGCAGCATCACGATGGCATCATCTCCAGGCGATGCGAGATCACTTTTGGCAAAGATGGTCGGGAGAGTACATCCATGGACTCATCTCACGACCTAAATGGTTGAAGGTCGATACCACACTTCACATCGGAGCACTCTGCCTTGTGCGCTCCGAGATTTCGCCTCCAAACCGATGGCCTCTCGCCCGGATCACAAAACTGCATCCCGGCGACGACGGGATCGTACGCGTGGTCACCGTTCGAACCGCGACCTCCGAGCTCGTGCGTCCGCTCGTAAAAATCGTCTTACTTCCCGACTTCACAACGGACGTAACGACACGCAACGCATAGACAGAAATACACGACACATCACATACGCACTGTAACCACTGTTCACATTCACACGCATTATTTCACATCGAAACCGCGTGTCACTATTCTCAGCTGATCGCACCACACTGTCAACACGTGTTCATCGTTTCAGCTGATCGAGCGACATTCCACGCGATAATCACTTGTATCTCGCCGCGCCGGCGCGCGCCTACCCCACTATCAATCGCGATCGAACATTCATAGCGACTTATTGTCAGCGGGTGACAAGGCGGGCGGGATGTTCGAAATTGAGAAGAAATTAATATAATTATTTCAGTCTGTATTTTTCTGTCTAAAAAATCGATATTTTCTTCCGATGAATATGCGAAAAAACCGCGGAAAAAAGGCTCGCCCGATATAAACAAGTAGGCGATAAATCAGGATTATTTTAACAAGCTGTCAATAACAACAACATTGCTTAACCGAAAGCAACGATCACTGCATTGATTATCGATGTAATAGACATGCGCCGTTCGATCACGTGGCTTCCGAAAGCCAATCGATCTCGCTATCGAGCATTTCGCGCATGTCAGGTGCGTGCTTGTGTCGCGTAAATTACGGGGCCGCCAATAAAGACAGGCGCCCTTGCGTCACCTTCGAACATTTTTAAATAACCGAAATTAATTGGTGAAGGAAAAATTAGTGGGGCTTCAGTACCGCACCGATAAAAGAAGCGCCCACCAAAATTGGGCGGCTAGTCTCTCGAGTCTCAGTACCGCAATTATTACCGCAATTATTACCGCAATTATTACCGCAATTATTACCGCAATTGTTACAGAAATTATTACCGCACACTCACTTGGAAATCGAACTCGACTTATCTATTGGAACTTTGTAAAATCACTGTATCGTTTAAATTGTGAAAGTAAATTCTGTGTTAATTATTAAAAGGTGAATAATTTCTTTCGGCCTTCAATTACGCGCTCTCCTTCACGCGTTCGCGCAAACAGACCAACGTATATGTATTATTATCTTTCAACAAGTCTTCAATACTTTGTATATATTTATCTTTATCCAACGCTACCGTTATATTTCCTTTAACCACACGTGTAAGGATAAGATTTTTATTTTCTTTTAAGAAATTTTTAGTAATGTGATTTAATTGTAAAAGCGTATTATTTGCTTCATTCGTAGGATAAGAATAAGTCAAAATAGATTTTATCACATTACTTGTTCGATTTCTTATAATTGTACGTTCTCTAACCGGTAATTTTCTAATATTATTTTCAATGTTCTTAACAAACTCAATCAGTTAAATTAGTTCTGTTGTCAAAAAGTAAACTAAAATTACTCCCCAACTGTAAAAAACATTGGATATCGTCCGGAATATTAATTGAAGATTTGTTGATAAACCATTTATCTTTCAACTGTTTTAAATCTTGACATGTATTATTGAAAGAAGCAGGATCTATTCTAACGTCCGTTATTTTATCCAAGGTGTTCCGCGTTACTTCGTTATTATTAAAAGAAACATAATTAGGACATGATTGTATTGATAGCTTATGTTTTGAATCTGAATTATTATATTGATAAGTATAGTGTATCGGTTTTATGTCACGAATGTTTAATTTTTTCTGTAGTAAGAAATTAAATTTTTTATTGTATCTTTCATTTTCTTTTAAAAAATGAGTATATAGCGGACCACTTTGTCTATTAAAAAATTTGTTGCAAACGTGAATCGGAATGTTATTATAAAAATCAATTAAAAGTCTATTTTGATTTTGAGCCGTTCTAGTAGACATATATACATCTCTAAGTTCTATTCTTAATAGTCTTTGAAAAAATAATAATTTTGAACGCAAAAAATTATGTCTCGATTTTTGGTTGGTAAAGTCGATCTTATATTTATTAAGTAAGCTGTTAATGTGTGTAGGAAATATTCCATTATTCATACAGTTACGATAAAATTTGATTTTAAGTCTGTTAGTGTTTGCGCGTACGCTCGATTGCTGACGTTGAACGCTCACGCACGAAGCTACGGATCCTGACAATCGGGTTGTAAATCCGATCGTCGATATCCGTCTCGTGTATAGATTGCACAGGAAGATTCAAAGTGGACTGTATCTTAAGGAGGGTGGACGCGCTCCGATTGGTGCGCAGGATGGGTAACGATTTAAGCCACGTGCCGAATCGAGAACCAGAATACGGAATTATATGCACAAATTACACAAAAACAATCCATTTATTAACTAAATTTGTCCGAGAGTCACAATGTACATAAACGCAAATTAATTTGAAACCTTTACATAAAATCTTTATCTATTAACGAATAAAATAGTCACCGCGAAAACACGTACGACGTGGTTGTTAAGCAGTCCGAAATGTCTCACTATATGGTATCTAGCATGTGTTGCATGGACACCACCGAAAAACTATTTGTTGCATAACAATTGCTAGTTACGATGAACACGCTCGAAACTCGTGTATCGAATCGTTCGAAATCTCACATTAAGATTTCGTACACGTTGCCGATTGCGGCGAATGCGATATTAAATCGCGAACCGAAATGTTTCAATTAACATGAAGAATCACTGATCACATAAATGTTACAGTGCGTTGAGCACCACGGGCTCGAAGGGATGAAAAAAAGGAACGCAAACACAATCACGACATCAGGTATCAGTCCCAGATGACTGATCACGTGATCTGCGCGCTCCAACTCACGTGATCTACGCGTGCCAAGCGAACACGCGCGAGCCTCATGTATACAATTATTACGTTCGTGGAAACAATCGGACTTCGGCACCT